GATTGCGGTGTTGCCATCCCCCTGGGGGGGTGATTTCCCGCTTTCTGTCTCTCGGTCTCTTTCTGTCTCTCTGGCAAGCACACACACCGTATAGCAAAAATCTCTCTTTAAAAAAAAAAAAAAAGAAGTCAGGATATCTTATATAGAAACCCAGATTTCCAACTTGTCTTGAATAATGAAGAGTGTTTGACTCCAGGCCAAACTTTTAGCAAGATTTGCCTAGATCTAAGTGGCTGTTGTCCCTGCTGTAGATAGAACATGTAAGCTTTCAGGGGGCCACAATCCCTCCCTCCAGGCCCCCGAGTGACAATTGCCATTTATCATTAAGCTTATCCTTTTCTTTTACGCAGTCTGATTCGCTCTTGACATTACCTGCCAGATTTCCCTAGGCATCTTATAACCCTTGCTTCACATTTATCTTGCTCACTTCCGACTGTTCTGCTGTCATCCTAATTGTCCTTACCCCCTGAATAACCTATTCTAAGGTCAGGACAACCCAGTGACATCTCGCTGCTGTCCTCTCCCCACAGTGCCCTGGGCTTGCTGTACTTCATCCGGCGAGGGAAGCAGTGTCTGGATTTCACTGTCACTGTCCATTTCTTTCACCTCCTGGGCTGCTGGTTCTACAGCTCCCGTTTCCCCTCGGCGCTGACTTGGTGGCTGGTCCAAGCTGTGTGCATTGCGCTCATGGCCGTCATCGGGGAGTACCTGTGCATGCGGACGGAGCTCAAGGAGATCCCCCTCAACTCAGCCCCTAAATCCAATGTCTAGAATTGGGTTCTTGGGACATCCTGCTGGCACTTGGGCCCCCCAGCACCTTGGGCTGTTCGGACCCTCCAGACGAGGCTCAGCCCAGGTCTGAGAGGAACCCTGGAAATGTGAAGTCTGTGTCGTGTGGGAGAGCTAGTGAGGCCTTGTCAAGAAGGCAGTAGCAGTCAGGATCACAGCTGCAAGAATGTCTGCTGAAATCTTGGTATCTGGGAGGTGGGACCTCTTTGACGGTAACAACAGAATTGGAACCATGTCACTCTTGAGCCACCGTACCTGTCACCAGCCTGTTACTTTAAAAAAGAAAAAAAAATCAAGGATATTTGATTGGAGCAGACCACTCTTCTAGTCATCTGTCTTCCCTCCCTGGGACAGCTGTTACCTTTGCCATGTTGCCGAACCACTGCAGTTCTATGTGGAGGAATACGTGACTTCAGATTGTACCCACAGAGAGAGATGTAGGTACAAGGTATAGGCTGTCGATGGGGAGATCAGCGGATGGAGGTGTCAAGCACAAGGACAGTGCACACACCTGTGTGTGTGCACCCAAGAACCCGTGACTAACTTCCTTCCTGTTCCCTCTATTGGGTCCCCACCCTGCTGCCATCTCTCAGCACAGCAGGCCAGAAGGCCCAGAGGAGTCCCAGCACCACTCCCGGTCTGAGCCTCACAGTACAGTCATTGCCTGTTCTCTAGGAATGATCAGGTACTTCAGCTCTCACTGCACCCATGCGTTCTTTGGAATTCTACAGTGGGAAGGGTGTGGTGAGTGCCCAGAGGCAAGAAACCCAACCTGCTAGCCTGAGCTGCACTGACAGTGCTGAGGGAGATAGGAATTTACAGCTAAGATTTTTCTTTAAGGTAGAGTGTCCTCTTTGAGGAGCTTGCAGCTGTCCTTCCTTTGTCCATAAATACAGTATTTCCCACGGTTCTGCCTGTACTTTGTACTGCCATGGTGGGGACTGGGAGAGATCAGCACAGCAGGCAAGGGAGCGGTACAACTTTCTCCTTTTCTGGATGCCTGAATCATTCCTCCTTTGGTTAAAGTACTGAGGCCAGGGAACCCCTAGTCCTGCTCCCTTCCCTGCCGCCTTCCTCTCCTGTGCTTGAGGTGAACCGACATGACTTTTGGGAGCCCTTTCCCACTTGCCAGTGATTTCTGGACACGTGCAGTAGTGCACACTGGTTAGACCCACTTCTGCATTGAAGCCATCAGTGTTCCTCTTCGGTTTTTCCTGAGCTAGCCCAAGAGAGCCGTCAGTTTTCAGCTCTCAGTGTTATGGCTCCACAGAAGAGTTTTGCTGTCTCCCTAGGGATCCTTTCTTACTTCCTGGCTCTCTGCCCTGCAGAATTAGGAGTTGAGGCTGATAGGATGAAGGTTTCACTTGTCTGGGTGAAGACTTTCTCAGTGCTAGGGTGCTCTGGCCGGGCTGGGAGGAAGCAGGTGGTCAACAGGGACTGATCTTGGCTGCAGGGCCCAGAGGGGAGAACAACTGGGACGACCTTCCCTAGGTTGGTGGTTCTCCCCAAACCCCACAGCTCTGCAGGCATGTGACTAGCTTTATTTGAAAGGCCCCGGGACACACAAATCGTGAGGCTGCCGTCTCCCTGATCAGCCCTGGTGGAGATGACTCCAGCTATGTTGGAACGCTCTCTGGGACTTCCTGTCTTCTGCGATGACACGTCTCTATGCTTTGAGTGTTCATTTGGTATTTGGAAACTACCAGAAGTCATGGGAACCAAGTTTTTTGTTTTCTGGTTTCGCTAGTATAGTGACTGAGCTGAGCCACAGTTGGGGTTCTGAAATTTGTGACCTCCATGAGACTTTTATGATTTCTAAACAAACAATAAGAGCAGTTTTTAGAGGTAAGTTCCAAAAGACTGGGCAGTGGCAGTCTCATTTTAATAATAAACAACATCTATTGGGTGTTAATAGGTGTCTAGCAGTGGGCCAAGGGCTTTATAGCTCCTTTCCCACTTAATCTTCACAACAACTGTGAAGAATTATCTGTATCTTACAGATGAGGAAACTAAGGACCTTTCCCAAGGTTACTTCTTAGGAGCTGGTAGAGCCGGGATTTGGACTCTGGGGGTTAATAAGCTCCTTCTGAAGAGATCAGTACTTAGGGATATAAAGGAGTCTTTAACGGTCATGGAAAATGTGTATTATGGATTTCAAAAGTTTTTGTGACAAAATAAACTTGTACTTTAATTCTGTTTTTCTACGGTTTTTGAAATCTCCTAGTGTAAGTTCTGATTTGTTAAACAATCTTATCACCTTAAAATCATACCTTCTCATCCTCCTTTATCATTTTAAATCCAAAGGATAAGTAGTGTTTTATAAACATTACTAGCTTTCTAAGTAAAATTGAATTGTAAATTAAATATGGCCAGATTTCCAAGTGATCATAGGCGCATAGAACATGTCTTTATTTTCAAAGACTATAGATTGAAGAGCAGCCTCCAGCCCACCATGGGGTTGGCTTATCTCTTTGACTTCCTAAGGGTCTGAAGTCTGGGCCCCTCTCATCTCACCTACCACTGGAATTTGGGCCATTCACTAAGGAAAAAGGAGGCTTTCTCTCCCAGCATAGCTCATGCTTAGAATAATTTATAACTCTGAAGGAAGGAAGGAAGGAGAAAGTCTAGCTCTAGGTAACCCTGTCCAGATCAGAGTCAGGGCGGGAGCCAGAATGCAGCCAGCAGGCATCGGAGGTCGAGTGGGAAACTCCAGCCCCCCTACATCCTGGGGGTGCACCCTTCAAACAGGATCCCCTGGAAGCTGAGTTTCTTGGCCTTCATCCTCGGCAGGTCAGGATAGCCACCCTTCTAACAGTCCCAGAGGACAGCCTGCCCAAATGTGGAACAGCTCCCCGTGCCCGCAGCCCAGGGGCCACAGAGCCTCGGGCAAGGACCCGGGGCAGGGGAATAGGGCTGGACTCAGGAGAATCCGCTGTGAAAAAGAGATAGAAAGCTATTGTCTTGCTTGAGGTTTTCTGTAGGAAGTAGTAAAGGGTGGTAAAAACACCATTGAGGTACAGTGGGGAGGGAGCTAAGGGTTCTAATTCCTGTCCTGCCCCTACCTGGGCAAGTCAGTGAGAATTATGGGAGTCCAGTGTGGAACTGTAGAGAACTGCAGGGGCATGAAGGTTTATGTCCTGGAGTCCCTGTGAGCTCTTGAGTAAGCTACTTAATCTCCCCGTACCTCGGTTTCTTCATTTCCAAGATGAGGGTAATAGCTTTTCTGGGTTATTGTGAGGATGCAATGAGATGTCATATGTGAAGCACTTATGCGCTTGGCATGTAGAAAGTGGTCCATAATTCCCAGCAGTTATAGGTACCAGGCTACCACTCGCTATTTACCAGAAGAGAGGACACCTTCTGAGCCGTATAGTCTCCAATGTTACTGGGCTTGCTAGTGATCTAAGTTCCACCACCAAGTATGGGGCTCCTGTCTTCCCCGGCGCTGCGGAATGAGTTTTGTGTCTCCTCCTTTAATCTGATGAGATAGGCGTCGTTTCCCCCATTTTGCAGACAGACAGGATTAGGCAATAAACAGCTTTCCCCAGCATCACACAGTTGGGAAGCTAGAGGCTTGTCTGCCTGGAAAGCCCATCCTCTTCAAGTTCTGATTAGGTTTTTTTTTTTTTGAAGAGGTTTTTGCTATAGGGTGCACGTGCTCACCACAAAGACAGAGACAGACAGAAAGCGAGAAATCACCCCCCAGGGGGGATGGTCACGCCGTAATCCCTTCTCCATTCTCCTCTCGGGATCTTGGGCACACACGCATATGCACCCGGTTTAAGCCACCAGGTCCGGGACTCGAACCGTGGTTGGCTACATGGGAATCCAGTGATATAGCCATTACGCTAACTGCTGGTCCCAAGTTCTGATTATGTTTGAGTAGTGCGTGATCCAAGACAATTGAGAAGGGTACAGTCTAGCAAATCCAGATGCTCTTTTAAGAAAAGGTTGTGAATGTGGGGCCAGCAGGTGGTGTGGTGGTTAAGGCACTGGACTCCCACATGGCTGACCATGGTTCGAGTCCTGGACCTGACAGCTTAAAAATCATACCAGGCATTCATGCATACATGCCCACGATCCTGAGAGGCAAATGGAAGAGAAGGGACTGTGATGTGGTCATTCCCTCCCTAGGAAGTAATTTGTCACTTTTCCTCTCACCATCTCTCTTTCTGGAGAGCACACATGCCTTATGGCAAAAACCTTAATCTAAAAAAAAAAAAAAACACACACAAAAAAGTGGTGAATGTTGGCTTGTTAAGCAGCTGGCTCCTGAAGACAGCCAATTAGGTAGCTGCTCAGAAGTGAGAAACAGAGTGAGTTATTACTGGCTTCAGGCTTTATTATGGCAGAGAGCCAAACCATTTTCACCTACAGCAAGCGTTATTCTCCTAAAACCCACTGGCATTGATATTGGTATCCCTGTTTCACAAACAGTTGAAATAAGCCCAGATAATCCATGTGACTCGTTAAAAAGCTAACCAATATAAGCTCAGATTCAAACACTTTAAATTTTTCCACCCAGTTTACCACTAGGGAGCCATTTCTGGAGTGACCTTCTCCATAAAGCAGGATCTTACTGAGCCTGGAAGTGAAGCCTTAGGTTGAAGTGGTTTAACAAAGAGAGGATGGTAATGGGGGACCTGGATTGTGGGATTGCTGAAGGCAGGTCACCAGAGGCATGAATGCCAGGGTAGGTGGAGATGAGGCTGGAAGAGATCTGCTGGGATTCACTCACCAGAACAGCCTGTGGTCTTTGTTCCTGGGCACCAGCCTGGGCACAGAGTCCCTGGCCCCTCTTCCTCTCTACCCTCCTGCCCCCCAGTAGGGTGGCATTGCCCTTGTGCAGCCAGGGGCCCAACCCCCATTATCTGTGGTGCAAAGCAGCAGTTGCCAGTCTCTCTAAGCTCACCCCATTCCCTCCTCCACTTGGCCTTTTCTGGCCAGGCTCTCACAAAGACTAGAAAGGATTTTAATTTTTTGTTGGGAACACGCTGGCTTGAGCGCAGGCGGATCGTGCGCTCTGGATAGGCGTTCATGAAAAGGTTGATGGAATGGAAGGTGCTTGGAAAAGAAGCTTGAGTAGAGGTAATTTTTGAATGTTGAGGGGATTGATGATAGCCAGCAGGGGAACTGGAAGTGGGGACGACTAGGGATATGGACTGGAAAGCAAGCTGAGTGGAGACAGCTAGAACTGAGGGTACTGGGGTGGAGGCAGGGGAATGCTACGCAAAGATCCAAGGGTTGCAATAGAGCAGGTGGTAGGTAGGGAGAGCGCAGGGTATTTAGGGAGTGCGCAGCAGAGTGCCTTACCAAGCTGAACCACAGCGGTGCGGTGCGTACAGAGGCACGGGCAGGCATGTACTGGTCCGCATGGCTCTCTGGGCCAGCTGCAGACGGCTAGTCTCTATGTTGAGCACTAGTGGGGAGGAGCGGTTTGAGCGGGCCAGATTAAGGGGGAGTCCTTGACATTGTTCTCTCTCTCCAAAACAGATCTCTCTCCCTGGGAGGGCTCTGGCCCCTCAATAGCTCCATGGCCCTTCCCAGGGCTCGTGCAGCTTGCCTTCAGGTAGAAAGGAGGATTATAATCTTCTGGACAAAGCTTGGGCGCCCCTGATTTTCCTCTCCCAAGCCGTATGTACAGGCCCTATGAAGCCTACTGACAGAAGTGACCATGACCAGACTGGGTTGAGAGTGGATACAGCATGTCGCGCTGGAGCAGTAGGGACGCAGTACCAACTCCCCCAGACCCGGCCCGACCCGGTGTTTTCCATGATCTGAAACTCAGGTGGGGGTGGGACTGGGGATGCCATTCGGAGGTCCAGCTACACCCATTTATTGTCACGAGATGGTCAGGGCCCAGTGCACGTGCATGGTGCCCACCCGGTGACTTCTGGGTAGGCCCTCTTCCTTTCTTGGGAAGATGGAATGGGGAGCAGCAGCCAGGAGACCTCGGCCAGAGTTCTTCCTGCCGCTTCTAGCTGAGTGAAGCTGAGTGAGCCAGGGAGAGTCATCCGCAGTCTTGGGTGGTGTGATTTCCTGTCCCCTTGGCTTACAGGGCCATTGTGAGACACCTTGCACCTGGGAAGCCCACAGCAAAAGTTCCCTTTCTCTGACATCATAGAGAAGAGAGCCCCCCTCACGGAGATGGGGGCGTGGTGCAGCTCACCTGCTTCTTTGTTCCGTAGACTGGGGGGGAGGGGTGTCTGAGAATGGGTGTGGGGGAAGCCTGACTGAAGTCCTGACACACAGCTCCCTCCCCACATCTTCCCAGGGCACTTGCCCAGCTTCAGACAGGCAGAGCCAGTGGTAGTATTCTCCAGTGCCATATGAGAGATTTTATTTGTAGACTCACAAATTTTCCCGCTCATCCCTCCCGTTCAGCTCACTGAGCGATCACCACCCTCTTCTTGCACCTCTGGCTCCCATCCAGGGTCACACCACCTGTGTGGGGAGACCTCGGTGTTAGGTGCTAAACTGTCCCCAGTAAACTGTCCCCAGAGGGCGCCCTAGCTAATGACTGTGTTAGGTTGGAGATGCTGGTTTGTTTGTTTGTTTCTTTCTTTCCTTTTTTTTTCTGAAAGGAAAGCTTCCCTTTAAGCTGGACACTAGGGGGCCAATCACTCTCTTCCTTTCGTGGGACCTCAGTTATCTCATGGAGGGACTGAAGTATTTTCTTCTTCCTTTTCCTTCCCTCTCAAAGAACTTTTTTGTTTAGAACAAAGCTAACTTGAAGAAGGAATAAATCAAACATAACGGGAAAGTTGATTTAGTCTAAGAGCAGAGGGAATAAAGCAAAGCCCTGCTTGGCCACTTCCCTTTTCCCACACTTAGAAACCCCTAAACTTGGTCCCAACAGGTAGTGTGATGGTTAAGGAGCCGGACTCCCACGTAGTCGTTGCTGTCCACGGTTTGAGTCCCGGACTTGGGGGCTTGATCCCCCCATTGAGCCCACCCACTGGGCATGTGTGTGTACATGCCCAAAATCTGGAAGAGGAGGGATTGTAGAGTGGCCATCCTCCTTGGGAGCAGATTTCTCACTTTCCCTCTCTCTGTCTGTCTCTGGTAAGCACACAGGCCCTATGGCAAAAACCTTTAAAAAAACTTCCTAAACCCAGTTACTTAGACCTCTGATTATGCAATTCAGAATCATAGCAGTTCCAGCCCCTCCCAAGACGTCCAGACAGTGAGACGATCACCCGGGAACCCATATATCCCATGTTCCTCGACCTCTAGAGCCCCTAGCTGCATCCTGAGAGGCCTCAGTGTAGCTACTACCCTGCTGGGTGGCCTTGATCAAGGACTTCCACCTCTCCGGGGTTGAAATTGGAGCCTCCCAGCCACAGCCCTCAAGTCTCTGGGTCCTGAGCCTTCTGACTCTGGGACCCAGCTCCTGGGCCTGGCTTGGGGCCTGCATCTCTGGCCTGCCAGTGGTGTCGTCACACCCACCTTGTATGCATAGCCCATGGGCATCTCGAGTGAGGCGGAGCAGAAGCGGGTGCAGCAGCGCTTGACCCAGCGCAGGGCGGAGGATCTGCACATCACCCGGGGCCCTGGGAGGTGGATTCGTGTGGGCAGCCCCTCGAACCAGATCCACTGGTCAGCTACATCCAGCTGCTTCATGTCCCCCATGGGCGTTTTCTGGTTGTTGGTCTTCAGGAAGATGACTCGGGGACCCTCCGTGGGTGGTTGCCTTCCCCGGGCCCCCGTGTTCAGGTCATGACCCCTCGATGTCTTTGGGACCTCAGGCTCCGCCTGCTGTTCTGATGGCACTCCTTCAGGTGACCTCTTTGCCTTGTTCCTCACCTTTGACCACTCCTTGGGCTTTGTCTCCTTGGGCTCCCCAGTGAACTCTGCTTTCTGAGACTCCAGGTTATTCTTGGGGCACTTTGCCTCCTGGAGCACCTTACTATTTTGCTTCACTTTACTGGAGACGTTGTCCCTGGCAGGGAGAAGAAGGGCAGTCAGCAGAGCAGGCCCAGGACGAAGGCCCAGGTCCTCTAGCCTGGCCTGAGACAGTGGCTGTGCAGTCAGTGTAGTGAGCCTGTAGGTCCAAAAAGAGACTTCTCTACTGCCCAGAGCCTTGTGCCTGGTGGTAGGGACATGATGAGTATGGGCAGAGGGGATGTGAGAGGCGTGAAGGTGCGAAGTGTGACTAAGAGGTAGTGTACCTAGGAATATATATTATCTGCATCTGCCTCTAGATTAGGGTTTTGTCTCTGGCCTTCAGTTGAGAGGGCGAACAGTCCAGACTTTTTTGTTTTTCAAATTGTGTTCTAAGAAACCTCAAGGCTCAGAGGAAGCATCTCAAGTGCCCTCTTCAACCCCACCCCACTTGGAGACAAATAGTTGCAGAGAGGTTCCGGTGCTTTTAAGAAGTTGGAGAACTATGGGACTGATCCAGATCCTTTGGGCTCCAGTGTTCCTGCCTGCATTTAGTAGGCAAGTGACAGCGAGCAGCCTGGAAAGGTGGCGTTGACAGAGGTACTGCATGCTGGAAAGAGACTTTTCAAAGGGTATCTGTGATAGATTTTGCCAGCCCACCCACGGCAGCGCTATCCTAGCTGAGTGGGTGGAGATAAGTGAGGCGTCGGGCTCAGGGGAATGTCAGTACTGATGACACTAATGCCACCATTGGTGCCCACTCTGTGTCAGGCCCAGATCCCCAGCACGGGGTACAGGAGGAAGCAGTGAGGCAGCAGAGTATCTGGGAGAACCCCATCTTAAGACCAAACTCTGTGTCAGATTCTACCTTTGCCTCTTGCCATCTGGGCAATTTGGGCAAGAATATTAACCTCGGAGAGCCTTAGTTTCCTTACCTGGAAAACTGGGATAATGCTGTCTACCTAAGAGGACTGTTGTGAGCAGGTAAACCTCACGGGAGACGTTTTGGAAAGCACTTAGCACAGCAGCCAGCACTCAGTAGCCACCTGATACATCTTCGCTTTCTTCACATTCTGGTGTGACTAGGGAGGAAGCAGCCTCAGGAGGATTAAACCTCAAACTTAGGGGCCAGTCTGCAGGTGAATCTGTGGGTTATATTGACTTGGGGGGAGGAGGAGTGCCCCTTGTCACTCAGTGCCCCAGGTTGTCATCATGCCCATAACTGGGTCATTATGACTATTGGGACCACAGCCCTACCATCAGAGAAGAATGGTGTCCAACACTAGCTCTGCCACTGGCCAGTTCAGTGAGCCAAGACAAGTCCCTTCACCTCCTGAGCCTGGACTCCTGTCAGTAAAGCAGAGCTAACAAACACTGTTCTCACAGAGCCTTTGGGAAATCGAGACCTGTCCTCTAAATTCACAGCATGGTGCCTATTCCCAGTAACACTAGCTAGTAGGCCCATTATGGGGACCATGGGTGGGCCGAGCTCACCCAGAGGAGCTGCAGAGCATCTTTGGAACTCTGAGCAGCGAACGCCAACACCTTCTGGCCAGGGAATGCAGTTCGTGGATCCGACGATTCGAGCTCTTGAGTAGCTTCAAGAGTGACAGGTTTTTTAACACCTGTCAGGGTTGAAAAATGAAATAGAAGTTTTAGCTCTCCTGGGAGAGCCTCCCACTGCCCTGCCTTCCTCTGGCCCAGTGTAGTTCTTTCTGGGACGCTCAGCCAGGCAGCCAGAAGCAGCATTCAGACACTCACACTCCCCTCTGCCATGGCCGCAATGGGGCATCTCACCGTTTTCAGTCGGGTCCGCTTGATTATTTTGCTGACAGGCTGATTTGTCTTGTCCTGCGGATCGTCATCTTGCATCTAAGAGACAGAGATAGAGGGAGAGAGGGGACAGTTAACACAGGAGGTGTACCCCAGGTGTCTCCAATATGTTTGGCCATTTGACTGAGTGTGGTTTGACCAGCCCTACCCTGGGAGTTTTGTCACCTTGCTTTGGGGGCAGAACTGGGAAGACCATTTTAACTCTTAGGAACTTCCTCACGTCTTCACCTTTTCTCACCCTCCCTCCACCCCCAGGCTAAAAGGCCCCTCTCCTTAGTGTGGCTGGGCTCTTTGTTAAGGCCTTTTTTGGGGACCCCCTCCCCCCTAGGGTCCAGTCCAGAGTCTGACCTTGGAAACCACTCTATTCTTGGGCCTCTTCTTTACTGATGGACTCATGCTGGGGCTGTGTGGACAGATGGAGCAAGACTGGTACCAGGCACCACTGCGCCCTGCCCCTCTCAGTTCAGCCAGCACTCAGGCTGGGTAGCAGGTGGTGCGGCTGCAGCTCCCAGAGAGGGGAGCTGTGACATCACTGAAATGTGTGACAGCAGCAGGGCTGGGTCTCCAAGGAGTATGTGTCAGCAGAGGTGGAGGGTGGAGGGTGTGAAGGAGACTCCCATCTGTGGAGAAACATGGATGGTAGGTGACATGCAGCCGTGTACATTGTCACAACCTCCCTGAGAGGTAAGAGGATTGTCCCCTCTTTTTTAACGAAGCCAAGGTTCAGAGGATCATTTACTCAAAGCCACACAGCTGGGAAATGTTGGAGCTAGAAACTTAATCAAGGTTTGACAGTCAACCCATGGCACCAGGGTTCCTAACATCTGCTCATCTTTCATGTCACATGAATTGAGCTGCAAGCCAGTGCTTTTCTAAGCTCTGGAATAAAAGAAGATTCTTACTCTCAAGAAGTGTCCACTCTAGTGAATGGGGAAACAACACTGTGTGGTTGTAGATGTTTAATAATTAGCTCTCGAAAACAAAATCTAGGGGCCAGCTGGTGGCGTGGTGGTTAAGGGTGCTGGTCTCCCACCTGGCTGACCATGGTTCCAGTCCTGGATCTGGTGGCATGCTTTCTCATTTGCCATCTCCCTTGCTCTCTCTCACTCTGTACCTCTCTGGTCGAATTAAAATAAATAAATAAAATTAAAATGAAATAATTCTTTAAAAAATCTATACATATATGCATGTATGCATTTATTATAAGTTTTACTGTTAGAAATCTACAAATAATAAAATTTTAATAGCCCTCTTAACTGTAAATTCCACTGCCAATTGCTTCTTCTTCTTTTTTATTTTTTTTATAAGAATTATTTATCTAACTTAATTTATTCTTTTTCTTCAATTTGACCAGAGAAACAGAGAGCAAGAAAGGAAGCTGCCAGGTCTGGGACTCAAACTGTGCTTAGCCATGTGGGAATCCAGCATCTTAACCACCGTGCCACCTGTTGGTTCCTGCCAATTGCTTTTTGTAGTATGCTTTTCTGGAGTCTTGCCTACCTGTTCTAGCCATAGCCGACCTGTGGTTGTAATGAATACACTGTACAGGTTGAATGTTGGTATTTTCATTTACGCTGGAGTATGAAGTGAAAAAGTGAAACAACAAAGATGTTGGAATTTCACTATTCATCAATGACCTGATTTACTAATTTGCTGAATAGGATCACTGTTTTTGAATACTGGAAGTATATTTTCTCAGTTTTTTTTTTTTTTTTTTTTGCTATTTACAGTGTAACAGCTGGAGACATCACATCTGTTTACATTTAATTTACATTATTAACATCTTCTCTATTATTTTCTTAAGATTAGACCAGAGATCAGCAAATATCACTGTGAATGACCAGATAGTAAATAAATTCGGCTTTGCAGGGAATATGGTTATAACTCCTCTCGGCTCCGCTGCTGTGGAGTGACAGCAGCTGCAGATAGCATGTAGATGAATGAGCATGACTGTGTACCATGGATTTTGATTGACAAAAATAACTAGTGGGGCCAGCCAGAGGCTGGTGGTTAAAGTGGTTGGATCCCTCATGGCTGACTGTATCACGTTTCAAGTCCCAGACCCAGTGGCTTGAGAAACACACTGGGCACCTCTGCGTGTATACTCAAAATCCCAAAAGGAAGGAGAAATGAAGAAGGGATTATGGTATGATTATGCCCCATGGGGGATACCCCATGAGGGTTCCCTCTCTCACTCTCTCAGAGTGCCCAGGCCCTCTGGAAAGTTAAAAAACACAAAAACACCAGTGTGCTGGATTTGACCATGGCCAACCCCGGGTCTAGACAGTCAACGAAACAATAAATTAAAACCCAATTTGCCACATTTACTTATTTCGTGGTAGTAAAAACTGCCCCCACAGTTGACTTCAAGCTGCCAATTGATGTCACTGCACTTGGGTTTGGGTAGAAATGAGTATTTATATTATATATTGCTACTGTACAGATATACAGATGATAGGAATTTCAAGAACATAATCATGAAAGGGAGTTAAAAAATGGAAAGTGATGAGTTTGAACATTTTTCACCTGTGTTTTTTTTTTTTTTTTTTTTGAGAGGTTTTTGCTA